CGGGGCAGTATTTATATTTAATATATTTTCATGTGTAAAGATGTACAGCATGTCTGTACGCTATGCACTCGCTAGGTTGCACAATGTTGTATATTCTACCGATACAGTAGCTGAAAAAGGGCTACATAGTCTGGCAGATCTCTTTCTGTATCACATATATTCGTTGCATTCGAAGGACCTTCGGTCGCCTTATATTACTTGTTGAGACGGACACTCGCAATCCCGGTGGACTCTTATTTTACCCGACATGTTCAATCTGCGCCTTACTTTAACCGTACTACACACGCCCGTGTGCGTAGTCCATAAGCGTCGGGGTTGGAGCGGAAGTAGCTGGTTTGGAGCTTAGACACACTGCATAGTCTGGGAGACACGGACTGATAGTCTGGCGCTCTATTGCGCTGCGTGCTCGAGATTGAGTACCGAACTGCCTTGGGCAACTTACAACGGTCTGAGGACGGCCTATACATACACGGATGCCATAGAGTGTACTGTAGCGTACCGATCCTTATCCATGGTGAGGGTATAAAAGTTAGAACCAAGTTCTTGGTTCACTGAAAGAATTGATTTCTGGTTTGCACCACAGAGTGTCGCTCGTATCTTTCTGAGATATATATGCCTCGATCCCTATTTGGTGCATATACTCCTATACCGAGTCTGCGTTGTGGATTTTTCTCGCATGTCCATATACTATAGACTACCTCATTTCCATTGCAAAGTACGGATCGCCTATCGGACTACCCCACAGGGGTGATGCCGTGAAGCTGTCACTAAACGCCCCACTATCACTTGGCTCCTCCGTCAGCCTACCATCCTTCGCCACACCTATCTCTGGTGTCTGTAGCCTCCTATGCTTTCGACCACACACTCTGACCTCTCGCTCAGCCAGTGTTCCTGCTATTGTATTCTTCCTCCTCTTTGTCACGGGAGAGCCCTCGCTCTGGCCCTTCACGGCCCTGTGCATGGTTCGCACTTTTATATGTCCTGGTGCATTTGTGTCCAATTTCTTGCCGCCGTGCGGTACTTTCGGCACTTCACTCTCACTGCTAATTCCTGATTTCTTCGTATATCGTCCCGATTTCGTCTCACCAGACGTCTCCCCCGTTTGGGTCCTGCTCGACCCTACTAATCTACTAGACACCTCCACACTTTCGAGGTCAATACAGTCCTTTGCGCTGGCCCTGACCTGGCCCTTGTGGCCCATTCCCCGGGCACGGACTGCACCCCCATTCCTTCTCCGCTTCTCCGCTGATACTTTCCTTGTTATAGGCGCAAGCGCAGGCATTTGTGTGGAGTGTTTGGTGTTCGTGTGTGGTTGTAACTGTGTTGCTTGCTCAGTACATTTGCTCGCACCAGCCGCCATAGTCGCATAAGAGGCAGTGCGTTTTCCCTTCCCGTTCTCATGGTCCTTCCTTAAACTAGGGATTCGCGCAGGTTTAGCCAGTGTAGGGGTTAAACTAGGTTTTTGGTCGGGCAAGTCCACATTCTCCTCTGAACTCTGGCTGTTTATACTGATGGGCGTTCTGTTCCTCTTTTTGGAGAAACGACAATGGATCAAACTATTGACGAGGGCAACTCCTGATTCCAATTCTGGCGTACCGGAACGGTATCCGAAATTCAAGTACGGATGGAGTGGCGGATAGACCCTCAATACAAAATAGGTATATATACACACAATGCCACGATATAGACAATATGGTCACACGAGAAATATCCCAACTCTGCGATATGAAACAAAATAAACTCAGTATTTGGCTTAGATAGACCCAAACAAAATATACATAAATGCATAAAAAGAAATATTCCAGTTTGGTGACATTGTATGTCTCAAACTGAGCATGCAGACTTTTCGGGTCTAACATTGTAGGTGGTTAGCGTTAATATAAACACCTACTTTGCCCTTGGTGCCACGAGGTTTCCTTAGACGTGGTGCTTGCGTTTCGTCATCAGAGCTGATCAAACTTATGCATTCGACTGTTGTAGGAACTAGGATAGCACAAGCAGAAGGATAGGCAACACCAGTAAGATTGTTAACTTTCCAATCCGTAGAGATTCATATTATTTGAAATAGTCAATGAAAAATAAGGTGGCACCGAATATATATATATATATATATATAATATATATATATATATATAATATATATATAAATATAAATATATATATATATATATATATATATATATATATATAGTATATATATACACACACATATATATACTATAGTACTATATATATATATATATATATATATATATATATGTATATGTAATATATATAAATATATATACATATATTATATATAGCACTATTATATATATATATTATATATATATATGTATATATGGAAATGGTAATATTATTTTAATA